AAACAAGAAAAGGACCAATGTTTGTTTTGTTTGTTTTTTAAGTTTTTACATGCTAGTAAAATAAAAAGGTTTAACTAGAAGACAGTTTGTTTTGGTTTTATTACCCAAATATAAATCGTCCAGCTTCCATTAGCCAAAATTGATTTGTCCATGCTCCAGCAGCAAAGACCACCTATGCAGAGGTAGAAATGTTAAAAACAATCTAATCACCACAGTTTTCCCAAGGATTTTTTCTATTGAGCTATATGGATTTAAACAGAATGTATATCTGTTTAAGTAACTGCATTCTTCTGAAACTTCAAGAGTATATTACCTGTCCCGCACAGACAAAAAGGGAAAAGATGATTGTTCCCAGCCTGTAAATAAGAACATGGGGAAAGATACCAATCAAGACGACATGTACAAAATCCATACGGAGCATTCACTTTTGTCTTTTGGGTGAAAATGCATAAACAACACATGGTTGGCAAAAAACATACAACCGACTGGTTCTTCTTGTTACCTGACACCAAAGACCCGATCAAGCAGAAATCCCCCAAAGAAGCAGAGGACTACATTAGGCCAGGAGTACCAGGCGTACAACTGCATGAAGTCTGCAGTCGTCAGATGCAAATCCTGGGCGAGTCACAGAAGAAAAACAACACACATTAGACTCTCGCTTTGTGTTAGTTTTTGCTATCATTTTGTGTTGAGCACAATGCATAGTAGGCTCTAGGTTTTTGAATAAATCCGTGTAACAACACCATTTACTAGGAATCTTATTTGACTGTTCTTGTTGTTTATTATGTAGATTTTGTTTTTGTTTACATAGAGTATGGTGATCTTTAAAAGATAACCTCTCTTCTATATAAAAAGAAATCTCCAAAGGCGTGTTAGTGTGGGATTAATATGAATGTCTGCATTTGGTTTTAAGGCCCTGGTGTAAAAGTTTGAATTGTGTGTGAAATACCTGGATGACTTGACTTTGGAGTGCAGCGGGATTATCGTAACAGAAGTAGCTTCCTGGAACAAAGCACCCACATTAGCGGGGCTCAGACATGACACTATTGCATTTATTATACATTTCATACATAATAAGCAGACAACAACGTGCATTATTTACACTAGCTTGATAGTATTTAACTTTAGTTAGTCCCAAATCTCCCAAATAGCTCGCCGTGCCGCCTTTTACTCCTTACCAAATCCCAGGAAGCACATAAAAAAAAGGACAACCAGTCGGTGCAGTAAGCGGCTGGGGTCGCAGATGGCGAGCATGGGCCTGCCGGGTCCACTGCCCCTGTCCTCGTCTCCCAACAATCTCTGCCGCTCCTCCAAATCCGCCATGTTCGATTATTTGTGAGCTTCACAGCAGAGAGGAATACCTAAGAGTGTCAGTCATATGACCCGTTATGCACGTCACGTGGCATTATGTTCGCGCAGTGAAGCTGGCGTACGCCTCGGGAGGGCGCACAGTCAGCTGAGCGGAGTGGGATGACTGTAAATAACAGACGAGGTTTCGTCTTACACAGTGAGCACAAACGGTTAGTTAGTAACGTTTAGTAACGTTTGTCACGATGTAGCATGAAATATTAGACGCCAAAAGCTTTTACTGTTGCGATCACCTTTCCCTGAAAACTAAAGATGGTCTTTTAGGGATGTTTTGAAAAAGAAGAGCGGAGTTTGCGTTTAAAAATTCTTCTTTGAAGAAACGAAAGCGGATTCAAGTGGTTTTAAACTTTACAGTAAAATGTGTGTCAGTATTTTTGGACAGATAAAGTAGTCACTTTAATTTAAAAGCTTAAACTATTGTGATAGCTAGTTTCGTTGGTCACCGGATTCAAAGATGGTGAGAATAAAGGTTAATGAAAACTAAAGACTATATTTCTTCATAGGAGATGGAAGAATAAAGCAATAAAGCTAAATCGCCTATATTGGACTTGAATTGTCAGGTGACCTGACAGGTGATTCCCAGAAAGTGAGAAATGAATGTGATGACTGTGTAAAAACTCAACACGTGTATGTTATGATAACAATGAAATAGTAATGAACTATATTTCAGCCATTAAATTACTACTGATAACAATATATATTAAAGTTGTTTTTTTGTTTGTTTGTTTGTTTGTTTGTTTTTTTACCAGGACAAATAATTTTTTCTGCTGTTTGTGTATAAAAACCTTTTTATACACATTTGATTTTTCTATGTGCTGTGTTTTTTCCATTATATATTCACCTAAAAAATATGAATACTTAGCAGTAAATCAGGAATAATAAAACAGATTTTAGCTTCATGAAATACTTTACAAGATGGATTTTTTTTTTGTTGCACATTTAAAAATGAGACAAGGTTTAGACATCAACATGTCAAAAACTATACAAAACTACAAACTACAAAACCTTGGTGGGTGGGGGGTACTGATAGGCACAAAATAAACAAATGCTATTTTCATTACACTTACATGTTAGATTGAGCAAATATGACAAATTGTATTTCAAAAACCCATACTCAGACATTCATGATGCATTCGTCTCAAATTACAGACGCTGATTTGATGGTAAGACAGACCAGTGACAGACCAGGATTTTATCTTTTAATAGTTTTCAAGATTTTCATGTTTAAACATTTTACAGCGTGTAAAAAAAAAGCCTAAAAGGGGGTCAACCGATCATCTTGAAACTTATTTGATATATGAAGTTTAAATTTGATAACAGTCCAAACTTTGGACAATAAATCTTTTATACAAATCAGAGAGAGCTGAGCAGAATGCTCACGTTGATTTAAGAACGGCATGACCCATGTGCCAATTCGATATTTTGTGGTATTTTATGTTTTTACCCTCAAGCGAGTCACCTCAAAAACTGTACCCGGTGTTCATCTGTAGCACGTGTAGGCTGACTGTCCACTGTTTATCGCAGCAAGCAGTCAGTATGCGGTGGGTCTACTCTGCAGGAGGTTGTAACGTTTTATGAAAGGCGACAGATACATGTTGAGGAGTCAGTGTCGCTGTCCGATGACACAGACACAATTGTTGTGGAACTCCTGAACTTTTTTGTCAGTAAGGACTGCTGTCTTTGGTACTCTGCTGTCTTTGGTACTTTGTTAGTTGCTGTTAGCATCTCTTAGCTGCTAGCAGCTTAGCAGAGAAGACAGTTTCTTCCCCTAGGCCAGACTTTCCCAAAGTGTGGGGCCCGCCCCCTAGGGGGGGCGCAGAGCCATTGCAGGGAGGGCGCGGCATGAAAAGGGGAAAAAAAACCAAAAACGCTTGGACACTGCTAGCATGGGGAGCCTAAACAAACGCAAAGCAGGAGATGAAGCATCGCTGAATATGTTTCCAAACCAACTTCATTCTAAGCCAAAGACTAGAAAATATGGTGAAGCATATCTTCCCTTTGATTTCACCTGCACAAATGCTGAGGTAGGTCTCCCTGCAGGATTGTTTTTCCCTGTGTCGGGAGCAGCGCTGGGCTGTTTAAATCACGGACAAACAGTATCCTACATTCTTGATTTTTAGTTCACAAACACTTGTTGTAATGACTAACTACTCCTGACATTTTAGAGAAGTTAGCTCTTTATACAGTAAAGTTACAGGGGGATACAAATAATATCAGGCTGATCCTGCCACGATTTGTATTTGTAACAACAGTATCCCACAGTTGTTTATGTTTTTAAACTCATTTTGTACAGAGAGGCATTTTTTTTGACAAATGTATTGATAGCAATGTTGAATATTATTACACAGGAAAAAAACAACTACATGTAAAATAATCACACCATGACGCCTCTGCCTTTCTAAATGGAGCGACAGTAACTGCGTGTGTATATGTAAGCGTGTAAAACCTGAAGATCGAGACAAAATACTGTTAATCTGACTATCTGCCATTCTGCAATTCATGTCACGTAAATAATAACGTGGCGCACAGCGTGACGTGAAAAAAGGCACATACCTTTGAC